AAGGCTGGAGGCAGTGGAGATGTCATGTCTGAGGGCAATGTGTGGTGTGAATATAATGCAGAGAATTCGTAGTTTGGAAGTTAGGAGGAGGTGCGGGATTACCAAAACTGTTGTCCAGAGGGCTGAGGATGGGTTGTTGAGGTGGTTCGGACATGTAGAGAGAATGTAGCAAAACAGAATGACTTCAAGAGTGTATCAGTCTGTAGTGGAAGGAAGGCGGGGTAGGGGTCGGCCTAGGAAAGGTTGGAGGGAGGGGTAAAGGAGGTTTTGTGTGCGAGGGGCTTGGACTTCCAGCAGGCATGCGTGAGCGTGTTTGATAGGAGTGAATGGAGACAAATGGTTTTTAATACTTGACGTGCTGTTGGAGTGTGAGCAAATTAACATTTATGAAGGGATTCAGGGAAACCGGCAGGCCAGACTTGAGTCCTGGAGATGGGAAGTACAGTGCCTGCACTCTGAAGGAGGGGTGTTAATGTTGCAGTTTAAAAACTGTAGTGTAAAGCACCCTTCTGGCAAGACAGTGATGGAGTGAATGATGGTGAAAGTTTTACTTTTTCGGGCCACCCTGCCTTGGTGGGAATTGGCCAGTGTGTTAATAAAAAAAAAAAAAAAACATGTTGAGTTTTAATACTTACCAGACAATGTAGACAAATTATAATTTTAAGGGAAAAACTCATTTTTTACCACATCGGCTATTTCTCGCCAATGAGTTGGAATATTTGCCAACACATTATTATTATAATCATGGGGAAGCGCTAAACCTGTAGGATTATACAGTGCCTGTGGAGGGAGATGAAAGGTATTCAGGCTTAATTCAGGGAACTGAAGCATAGATCCAATTCCCTAGATCAAGAACCTCCCTTGAGGAGGGTTTGCCAACACAGCATTTATTTGTCAATACAGTATTTTATAAGTTTATTATGACTGTAATCATTTTTAATACTGGCCATTTCCTTCCAAGGAAGGGTGGCCCAAAACAGAGGAAAAATATTCATTCAATCACTGTCTTGCTAGAAGTGTGCCGACTGTCACTGGTATACACTGATCACACAATACCAGATTTATCCATGGTCATCAGATTTGCACCTTGCTGCCCCATGCAATGTCTGACAGATTGTGGTAACCATCCACCATATTTTCATAAAGTGCCCTATTTCTCTAAGAGTACTGCCAGTGTGGCTTTTGATGCAAAGAATTGGACCTGTCCTAGGTAGTATGTTGGTAGACAGCAACCACCCAGGGAGGTACTACCGTCCTGCCAAGTGAGTGTAAAACGAAAACCTGTAATTGTTTTACATGATGGAAGGATTGCTGGTGTCTTCTGTCTGTCTCATAAACATGCAAGATTTCAGGTATGTCTTGCTACTTCTACTTACACTTAGGTCACGCTACACATACATATACAAGCATATATACACACCCCTCTGGGTTTTCTTCTATTTCTTTCTAGTTCTTGTTCTTGTTTATTTCCTCTTATCTCCATGGGGAAGTGGAACAGAATTCTTCCTCCATAAGCCATGCGTGTTCTAAGAGGCGACTAAAATGCCGAGAGCAAGGAGCTAGTAACCCCTTCTCCCGTATAAATTACTAAATTTAAAAAGAGAAACGTCTGTTTTTCTTTTTGGGCCACCCCGCCTCGGTGGGATACGGCCAATGTGTTGAAAGAAAGAAGAAATTGGACCTGTCTTTCCATTCCTTGGATCAAGCCTGATTGTCTCCCTTTTCCCAAATGCTGTGATCCCTATAGGTTTAGTGCCTTCCCTTAAACTGTATAATAAAAGTTCATCAAATGAAAACCTGCAGATGGTGACTTTGGGCTCTAAATACACAAATGGCCCAGTATGTAACCCATCCCATAATAAGAAGGAGGATGCACGACCAGCCGATCAATTCAGACTGAATCAGAGCTGAAGCCTCCTTTTTACCTCTTATCTGCTCAACAAAGAAAAAGTGTTGCTTATCAAAGAATCACAGCTCCAGGGATAGGTTCAACTTTTAGGTAAGTGGAAATGAAAAGTATATGGGTTTCCATGTATGGCAAAAAATAGGGAATCAGTGCTAGATTCAATGACTGCAGCCAACCTAGTCGGTTTGGCCTAAGGCATTGAAGAAGACTATAATCAAACACAGAGTCTCAAAATGCATAAATTGACTTGAGAGATCGCTGTTGCCACTGACTTATTCTGTGAAAGGATGGAGATATATTAAATTACTGAAATACAAACAAATAAGTCTGCTGAGTATACCTGGTAAAGTGTATGACAGAGTTATTATTGAAGGAATTAAGAGCAAGACAGAGAGTAGGATAACAGATGAACAAGAAGGCTTTAGGAAAGGTAGGGGGTGTGTGGACCAGGTGTTTACAGTGAAACATATAAGTGTACAGTATTTAGATATAGGTAAAGAGGTTTTTGGGTCATTTATGGATTTGGAAAAGGCATATGACAGGGTGGAGAGGGGGGTAATGTGGCAGATGTTGCAAATGTATGGAATAGGAGGTAGGTTATTGAAAGCAGAGAAGAGTTTTTATGAGGATTATGAGGCTCAGGTTAGAGTATGTAGGAGAGAGGGAGATTATTTCTCAGTAAAAGTAGGCCTTAGACAGGGATGTGTGATGTCACCATGGTTGTTCAACATATTTATAGATGGAGTTGTAAGAGAAGTGAAAACTCAGGTATTGGCAAGAGTTGTGGGGTTAAAAGATAAAGAATCTAACACAAAGTGGGAGTTGTCACAGTTGCTCTTTGCTGATGACACTGTGCTTTTGGGGTATTCTGAAGAGAAGTTGCAGAGATCGGTGGATGAGTTTTTTTTTTTTCAACAATTCGGCCATCTCCCACCGAGGCAGGGTGACGCAAAAAGAAAGAAAATCCCCAAAAAGAAAATATTTCATCATCATTCAATACTTTCATCTCACTCATACATAATCACTGTTTTTGCAGAGGCGCCCAGATACAACAGTTTAGAAGCATATACTATAAAGATATATAACATATCCCTCTAAACTGCCAATATCCCAAACCCCTCCTTTAAAATGCAGGCATTGTAATTCCCACTTCTAGTACTCAAGTCCGGCTATATAAAAATAATCAGTTTCCCTGAATCCCTTTACTAAATATTACCCTGCTCACACTCCATCTCGTCAGGTCCCAAAAACCATTTGTCTCCATTCACTCCTATCTAACACGCTCATGCACGCTTGCTGGAAGTCCAAGTCCCTTGCCCACAAAACCTCCTTTACCCCCTCTCTCCAGCCTTTTCGAGGGTGACCTCTACCCCACCTTCCTTCCTCTACAGATTTATATGCTCTCCATGTCATTCTACTTTGATCCATTCTCTATAAATGACCAAACCACCTCAACCACCCCTCTTCAGCCCTCTGACTAATACTTTTATTAACTTCACACCTTCTCCTAATTTCCACGCTCCAAATTTTCTGCATAATATTTACACCACACATTACCCTTAGACAGGACATCTGAGTTTGGTAGGGTATGTAAAAGAAGAAAATTAAAAGTGAATACAGCCTCTCCTCACTTAACAACAGAGTTCCGTTCCTGAGACCATGTTGTTAAACGAATTCGTTGCTAAGTGAGGAGCATACTATAATGGTAGTGAGTTTGTGTCAGCCATCTTTGATATTGTTTTAATGTCGATTTTGTTACATTTATAACATTTCTGGTATATTTTTAAATGCTTATACAGTAGTGTACGATATATTGAATTAAACAGAATAGAGAAAATCAGCTCTAATATACATTATTTAGATATGAATACTGGTCAGAGAGCCCACTGTAAGTCTGAGGTGTCGGTAAACGAGTACATCGCCAAGTGAGGAGAGGCTGTATAGGAAAGAGTAAGGTGATAAGGATAAGAAAAAAAATTAGGTACCTAAAGATTGGATATCAGATTAGAGAAAGAGAGTATGTAGGAGGTGAATGTATTCAGATATTTTGGAGTAGATGTGTCAGCAGATGGGTCTATGAAAGATGAGGTGAATCATAGAATTGATGAGGGGAAAAAGGTGAGTGGTGCACTTTGGAGTCTGTGGAGACAAAGAACTTTGTCCATGGAAACAAAGAGAAGAATGTATGGGAGTATAGTTATACCAAAGCTCTTATGTGGGTGTGAAGAATGGGTGGTGAATGTTGCAACAAGAAGAAGGCTGGAGGCAGTGGAGATGTCATGTCTGAGGGCAATGTGTGGTGTTAATATAATGCAAAGAATTTGTAGTTTGGAAATTAGGAGGTGCAGGATTACCAAACCCATTATTCAGAGGGCTGAGGAGGGGTTGTTGAGATGGTTTGGCCATGTAGAGAGGGTGGAACCAAATAGAATGACTTTGAAAGTGTATAAATCTGTAGTGGAGGGAAGGCATGGTACGGGTCAGCCTAAGAAAGGTTGGAAGGAAGGAATAAAGGAGGTTTTGTGTGTGAGGGGTTTGGACTTCCAGCAAGCATGCTTGAGCATGTTAGATAGGAGCGACTGGAGACAAATGGTTTTTAGGACTTGATGTGCTGTTGGAGTGTGAGCAAGGTAACATTTATGAAGGGATTCAGGTAAACCGGCAGGCCACACTTGAGTCCTGGAGATGGGAAGTACAATGCTTGCAGTTTTAAGGAGGGGTGTCAATGTTGCAGTTTTATATCTGTAGTGTAAGCGTGCCTCTGGCGAGACAGTGATGGAGTGAATGATGAAAGTTTTTCTTTTTCGGGCCACCCTGCCTTGGTGGGAAACGGCCGATGTGTTAAAAAAAAAAACGAAGCAAGGAAATGTTAGTAATACATATAGCGTATACAGTATGTAGGAATTAATGACATGGTCTGGTGCTGCTCTAAAATGACGAAGTATACAATCTATAAAATATTATTTTAGTGAGGAAAATTTTGGAAATACTTTAACACATTTTTTTCAAATTACGTTAATGAATCAGTCAATATTACAGCATTTAAACTAAATTATTATTTAAATTTTTACAAATGTAAGAAAAAAAGGCAAAATAACATTTATTATTTATTGTGTATCACACAATACAAGCTGATGAACAACCTCAAATATTATATACAGCACATATACCTTTGATGGATTTTGAGGGATTTCCTACTTCCACAACCCGGTCCTGGTCAAGCTTGATATGTACAGAATTATGACTTTGCTCTTCGAATTGTTTTTTCCAGCTCTTCTAATTGTTTCTTGCCCTGCATAATCAGCACCTTGATTACTTCCTGTAAAAAGTCACTTAAAATTAGTTGCTGTAACTGTAACTGTTAAAAATAATGAGTGTGTATTTTGAGATTATGTATTTTGTAAGAGAAAAATTCCATTATGAAAATTTATATAAAAATCAATGTAAGGAGCAACATTACAATTAAAATTACCATCACTACTGTGGATATGGAAATTAGCATTAACCTACGTGTGGACATACTAACGGAAATGTACAGCTATTCTATTGGATGATGTTGAAAGATTTCCTTCTAGGGGATGCCCTGATGTCAGTGAAGAGCTCTTGGTCCAAGGAAATAGAGTTACCATCTTTTTTCTTCTTCTTTTTGGATCAAACTGATTAGCTCAAATTCCCCAGATGCTGTGTAACCCTTTAGATTATAACACTTCCCTGTGAAATACTATTAACCCTTTCAGGGTTTCGGCCATATTAGTACGGCTTACGCACCAGGGTTTTTGATGTACTAGTACGCCTAAATTCTAGCGTCCTCAAATCTATTGAGAGAAAGCTAGTAGGCCTACATATGAAAGAATGGGTCTATGTGGTCAGTGTGCATGGTATAAAAAAAATCCTGCAGCACACAGTGTGTAATGAAAAAAAAAAAATTGACCGTGTTTTTGGATTAAAACAGAAACTTTGCACTGTATTTTCGTATGGTATTTATTGTTGTATTCTGGTTTTCCTGGTCTCATTTTATAGAATGGAAGACATATTACAGAAATTCAGATGATTTTGACTGGTTTTACAAAGAAAAGTACCTCAAAATTGAGCTCAAAGTAGCAGAAATGTTCGATTTTTACCAAAGTTCAAAAGTAAACAAATCATGCTAAGCATCCAATACATGTCAACTGGTGAGTCTAATATTCTTTCACAAGTGCGATGATATTACTTATACATTTCTACACCAATGCAGTAGTCTGCATAACAGTAAATCTACTGTTTTTTTGTGAGAATAAAAATTCAAAGTGGAAAGCAGAAGAATGTAAGAGGGGAATGGGGACGTGACTAATGAACAGAGGAAATGTTATTTTAGTACCAGAAATGTCTTTCTTGTTTATTCTGGACCCTATTCAGAAATTGGCATCTTTTGAAATTTGTGTGAAATTGACAAAATTGCTAAATTCTGACCACTGTATTGGATAGTTGAAATTGGTAAATGGGTGGTTTCTTGTACTCATTCGATAGAAAAAATGGAGTTCTAGCGAAATAGTTATGATTTTTGTCGACAAGTGCAATGGAATTGGCCGAAAATAGGGTTCAAAGTGAGCAAAATCACCGATGCGTAAACATCGTCGAGACCGCTAACTTCGCGAGAGCATAATTCCGTAAGTTTTCCATCAAATTTCATACTTTTGGTGTCATTATGATCGGGAAAAGATTATCTTTTCATAAGAAAAAACAATTTTTTTTTTTTTGAAATTTGGGCGACTGTGAGAACAAGTCTCTGAGAGGGCCTGTCGACCCTGAAAGGGTTAAAAACTAATGTCTTAGATAATTCTTCATATGCCACAAATTATTATTATATTCCCAATGAGCACTAAACTCTTGATATATCACAAAGAAAACAAAATACAGTGGTACCCCGAGTTTCGGCCATAATTCGTTCCAGAAGGCTGTTTGAGTGCCGTTACTGAACAAATTTGTTCCCATAAGGAATAATGTAAATTAGATTAGTCCGTTTCAGACCCGCAAAATAAACTTACAAAAGCACTTATAATAACAAACTTACATAACTGTTCAAGTTGGGAGCTGTACGAAACTCGGGGTACCACTGTACTTCACAATAAACACTGTTATAGACAGTTGTTATCAAGTTCTTGATACTGTCACTTAGTTTACTGAGTGAAGCGAAGTGCTGTAAAGTGGGGCCTGCCTGTATAACATGATATAATGTGTGCAGTACTATGATTCCTGAATAGTTGCCTAATGAACAGGTTGACGTCTTTTGGCAACAGCTGGCATCTTTACAATTCTGTCTAAAACAACTACAGGTCTGGCAGTCTTTGTATTCTACGTGGAGTAAACGGTATGGTGATGTTCACACATGAATGAGGTAGCTGAAACAGTTCTCAGTAAAATATAAACACAGAGTGGGAGGGGTTTGAACCCAATGACAAATAAGTCTTAAAACTCCAGGCCAATGCCTGGTTTATTTGCAATCGTGTTATTACAATTTTGTGAGTCATGGTTCCCAGAGCTTTGTACACAGTGTGTAACTTTGACAACACTGCAAAATTATCATTTTGTTTTAACTAATAAACATCTATCTACCTCATCTTCATGATGTCTATGAGTTTCAAAATCAGCTCGAGCCCATTCTCTTATCTCTTTACGCTGTGACTTGTCTGGTAAGTGCTGCAGCTGACGCAAAATATTCCTGTATAATTTAATGGCTTCTGTTCTCAGCATGAACTGAAAAAAAAAATTTACTGATAAATTGTAAGTGTATAAATATTTTTCTGATTGTTACTGATTACTGTTCTCATATTTGACCCTGTAAGGGGTTATTTATTGCTATATTAATGCAGAAAGACATTAAAAAAATTATAGATATTGGATATGGTAATATTAGTAATATAATATCAGGTAAAACTTTGGTTAAAATATTCAAAAAGAAACAATTCCAAAATATGAAAGTGATTACACTACCCTAAGTATTTGATACATTTTGAGATATCCAGCCCAACCTGGCACCTACACTTTCTATGGACATAAAACAAGGACTGACTACCAACAAAGATGTCAATAAAACCACCATTTGAGGACAAGATAAGATAAGATTTTGTTCGGATTTTTAACCCTGGAGGGTTAGCCACCCAGGATAACCCAAGAAAGTCAGTGCGTCATCAAGGACTGTCTAACTTATTTCCATTGGGGTCCTCAATCTTGTCCCCCAGGATGCGACCCACACCAGTCGACTAACACCGAGGTACCTATTTACTGCTAGGTGAACAGGACAATAGGTATAAGGAAACGTGTCGAAATGTTTCCACCCACCGGGAATCGAACCCGGGCCCTCTGTGTGTGAAGCGGGAGCTTTAGCCACCAGGCCACCGGGCCACCAGACAAGCCATCACTGTAGACAAAAACCTTCACAGAGGAATGTCTTAATTTTTTTACACCATACTGACCACCTCCCACTAAGGAAGGGTGATAAAAAGGGAAATATTCTCCATCATTAAGTAAGTTCATTCAGGTATACACAAACACATTTAAATAGAATATTGTACATAGCAGCTTATGTGTGGAGAACCTAGGATAACCTAAAAAAAAGTCAGACAAAGTGATTTATTTCCATTGGGGTCCTTTTAATACCTTATTATTATACTATAAAGGAGATATATTAGGAATAAGGTAAAATGAGTAATTTATATTTACATGTGTGTTACCTAAAAAAATAATAAATTCTCTTCCCTTTCTGTCACTACATTCATTAGGTACCTTTTAGCTCTCTTCTTGAACTGGTTCATGCTATGACTGGCTTTGACCTGTACAGGCAGTCTGTTCCATTCCTTTATTGCTGTACAATAAAAGCTGTTTGAAGCCTGGCCACTGACTGGGTATTACAATTATTTTTATAATAAAAAAAGAAGCGTTAAACCTACAAGGGTCATACAGCATGGATACTACAAAGTTGTGCTCTCTCCCCCTAGTACTATGATTGATTTGGTTACCAGCCTTGATAAGATTGGCAGCAAGATATTCTGGATACTGTTTGTGAGCAATTTTATAAACTCCACCAGCAGCTGTCTTGCCCGAAGAGTAGCCTCCCCTTCCTTGGACCAAAACCAATTATTTTTCATTTTCATGGCATTGCATGATACCAGCCTTGCTGAAATGATACAGTATCTGTACCTTTAAAGATGCCATAGCTACTAAACCAATCCCCTCAAGGGAGGTTCCTTGACACTGATGAGGGGCTCTTGATCTAGGGAATTGGATATGTGTGCTGGTTCCCTGAACTGAGTTTGAAGACCTTCCATCCCTGCCCCCACACACATGCGTTGTATAATCCTACGAGTTTAGCGCTCCCTCATGATTTTAATAATACTAAACCAATGCTCCTCAATGGAGGGGCCTTGATGCTGTGTAGTTCTCTTGATTAAAGAAGTTAAACTAATTCTTTTTTTCCCTGGATCAAGCCTGATTATTATTATTATAATCAAGGGGAAGTGCTAAACCCATAGGGTTATACAGCACCTGTGGGGGAGGGGGGATGGAAGGTATTCTGACTTAATTCAGGGAACTGGAGCACAGATCCGGTTCCCTAGATCAAGAGCCCCTCACCATCATATTAGTGCCGGAAAAAAGAGTCCCCCCCAGTACCACCAATACCACCAATCCGACATTCTTCTGTGCAAATATATAGGGTCTAAAGCCAGCAACGAACAACAAAATACCTTTCATCCATGGACTGCTTGCAGAGGCAAATGCAATGTTCGCGGCTTTCACAGAGACCCACATAAAGGATCACTTGGACAACGAAATATGGATCCCAGGTTACAACCTATACAGATGCGACAGAGTGAACAGGCAAAAGGGAGAGGATGTTGGCCTGTATATCACAGAGTCACTCATTTGCACAGAACTGCTTAATGCTTCAAATGATGTAGTTGAAATTTTAGCAGTAAAGATCGAGAACCAAAATCTAGTTATTATGGTAGTTTACAAGCCTCCGGATGCAATGTCCCAACAATTCCAGGAACAGCTGTTGAGAATTGACCACTGTCTGGAAAATCTTCCAGCTCCTGCCCCCAACACCTTGCTCCTGGGGGATTTCAACTTAAGACACCTAAAATGGAGGAATATAGCAAATACATGTAATGTTGTTGCAGTGATAACACCAGGAGGCAGCTCAGACGAGAACTCACACACGAGCTTTCAAATCTCAGCACAAAATTCAACTTAAACCAGCAAATAATAGAGCCTACTAGATTGGAGAATACACTGGACCTCATCTTCACTAACAATGATGATCTGATACGAAATGTCACCATATCAAAAACAATATACTCGGATCACAACATAATCGAGGTTCAGGCATGTATGAGTGGAGCCCCAGACCAACAAAATGGGATCACTCACGAGGGAGCCTTCACCAAATTCAACTTCAATAACAAGAACATAAAGTGGGTCCAAGTAAACCAAGTCCTAAATGATATAAGCTGGGAAGATAAACTAAGCAACACTGACCCCAACCTATGCCTAGAACAGATTAACTCATGGCACTCGATGTATGCTCAAGGCTTATTTCTTTAAGAAAGAGGAGGAGCAGATGTAAAATAGAAAGAGAGAGGCGCTCCCTTTACAGGTGACAGAAAAGAATAACAGAGCGGCTAAGAGAGGCCAATATATCTGCAATGCATAGGGAGACACTGGTCAGAGAAACAGCAAACATCGAACTAAAGCTAAAGGAATCTTATAGGAGTCAGGAATCGCGGGAAGAACTAAAAGCCATAAATGAAATCGAAAGAAACCCAAAGTATTTCTTTTCTTATGCCAAATCAAAGTCGAGAACAATATCCAGTATTGGCCCCCTATTTAAACAAGATGGGTCCTACTCAGATGACAGCAAGGAAATGAGTGAGTTACTCAAGTCCCAATGTGACTCGGTTTTTAGCAAAGCTGCTAAACAGACTGAGAGTCGAAGATCTAAATGAATTTTTTATGAGAGAGCCACAGAATTTAGTAAACACAAGCCTATCTGATGTTATCCTGACACCAAATGACTTTGAGCAGGTGATAAATGACATGCCCATGCACTCTGCCCCAGGGCCAGACTCATGGAACTCCGTGTTCATCAAGAACTGCAAGAAACCCCTATCACATGCTTTTAACATCCTATGGAGAGGGAGTATGGACACGGGGGTCGTCCCACAGTTACCAAAAACAATAGACATAGCCCCACTCCACAAAGGGGGCAGTAAAGCAATAGCAAAGAACTACAGACCGATAGCACTAACATCCCATATCATAAAAACCTTTGAAAGGGTCCTAAGAAGCAAGATCACCACCCATCTAGAAACCCATCAATTACACAACCCAGGGCAACATGGGCTTAGAGCAGGTCGCTCCTGTCTGTCCCAACCACTGGATCACTATGACAAGGTCCTAGATGCACTAGAAGACAAAAAGAATGCAGATGTAATATATACAGACTTTGCAAAAGCCTTCGACAAGTGTGACCATGGCGTAATAGTGCACAAAATGCGTGCTAAAGGAATAACAGGAAAAGTTGGTAGATGGATCTAAAATTTACTCACAAACAGAACACAAAGAGTAGTAATCAACAGAGTAAAGTCCGAGGCGGCTACGGTGAAAAGCTCTGTTCCGCAAGGCGCAGTACTCGCTCCCATCTTGTTTCTCATCTTCATATCTGACATAGACAAGGATGTCAGCCACAGCACCATGTCTTCCTTTGCAGATGACACCCGAATCTGCATGACAGTGTCTTCCATTGCAGACACTGCAAGACTCCAGGCGGACATCAACCAAATCTTTCAGTGGGCTAAAGAAAACAATATAAAGTTCAATGATGAGAAATTTCAATTACTCCGATATGGTAAACATGAGGAAATTAAAACTTCATCAGAGAATAAAACAAATTCCAGCCACACAATAGAGCAAAAAACTAACGACAAAGACCTGGGAGTGATCATGTCGGAGGATCTCACCTTCAAGGACCATAACATCGTATTAACCGCATCTGCTAGAAAAATGACCGGATGGATAATGAGAACCTTCAAAACTAGGGATGCCAAGCCCATGATGACACTCTTCAGGTCACTCGTTCTATCTAGGCTGGAATATTGCTGCACACTAACAGCACCTTTCAAGGCAGGTGAAATTGCTGACCTAGAAAATGTACAGAGAACCTTCACGGCGCGCATAACGGAGATAAAACACGTCAATTACTGGGAGCGCTTGAGGTTGCAGGGGTGTCACTAGCACGTTAAGAGACCATACAATAAGTGTCAGGGGCCCGAGACTGTTCAACTGCCTCCCAGCATACATAAGGGGGATTACCAACAGACCCCTGGCAGTCTTCAAGCTGGCATTGGACAAGCACCTAAAGTCGGTACCTGACCAGCCGAGCTGTGGCTCGTACGTTGGTTTGCGTGCAGCCAGCAGTAACAGCCTGGTTGATCAGGCTCTGATCCACCATGAGGCCTGGTCACAGACCGGGCCGTGGGGGCGTTGACCCCCGGAACTCTCTCCAGGTAAACTCCAGCATCAAGGAAGCTTCCAAGAGGGAGGATCAAGCCTGATTACCTTCCATTCCCAACAAAATCTTATCTTACTCTCCCTTGAGAGGTAAGCCTAAGTTATTATAATCAAAACCAAGCACTAAACCCACTTGGGTAGGACAAGCCTAAATTATGGGGAAGCGCTAAACCCACAGGATTAAGGCAAGCCTAAATCCTAGGCTTCCATAAATACATAATCTTAGCCTTTATCTGCTGTATGTATATTTATGTAGTTAAATGTTGAATTACCTGTTTTAAGCTCATTGTACTTGCTGGTAACTTGCTCATTATAACTCCACTCAAATACATTGTGACTAATGGAATAACATTTGTCCCATCTTATAAAATCGTAAATTCTGAAGCGACAAAGCCCAAAGATATATCTAAATATGACTACTTATCTTACTAATATGTGAATGTGCTACAAAATTGTGCTTATATCCTTTATATTGTTGTTGTTGTTGGGTTTATCAGGGCCACTGACAGCTTAGACCGTATCGAACCCGACTTCTCGATGTCACCAGGAAGATTTGTTGCCCAAGGCTGGGCGATGAAAGAAAAGGAACAACAGTTCCTTTGTAAATAGAGATAAGATAAGATAAGATTTCGTTCGGATTTTTAACCCTGGAGGGTTAGCCACCCAGGATAACCCAAGAAAGTCAGTGCGTCATCGAGGACTGTCTAACTTATTTCCATTGGGGTCCTTAAATTAATCTTGTCCCCCAGGATGCGACCCACACCAGTCGACTAACACCCAGGTACATATTTGCTGCTAGGTGAACAGGACAACAGGTGTAAGGAAACGTGTCGAAATGTTTCCACCCGCCGGGAATCGAACCCGGGCCCTCCGTGTGTGAAGCGGGAGCTTTAGCCACCAGGCCACCGGGCCTTGAAGTTTCCAATTAGATCCGGTGGGCGCCCTTGTCAAACTCCAGCAGAAGGGGGCGCCCATACCCCGACCTGAGTTCAGTAACCGGCTTCCCCCAAAGACCGTTAAAGAATTTTCCGCAAAGCGGAAAAAAACTGGAGTTGGCTAAAGTAAGCCGATGAACAGGTGTTCCTCCTGTAGAGTGCCCGGCGGGCAAAATAGATGAGGACATGTGTCCCAGAGAGAAGGGTGGAAATTTGTCACTGATACACAGGCGAGAGAGAGACATCCACACCCGACGATGGCTGGCGCAGAAGCCCAGATGAATCTTTGTTGTATATTAACAGTGAATTGTGGTACCAGGGTTCTCAGGGGTTGTTAAGAGCTACCAAAGCGTAGATCTAGGCCTATTTGAACCCTGGCTCACGGAATCCGGGTAAACTATTGTTCAAATATAAGCCGTATTATGAGGGAAAGAGAAACAGGAACATATAATTCCCAAGATAGATCAGCTGAACCATGATCTAGGCTTTAAATAATAAGATATTACAGGGACCTCAACGGAAATAAGTCACTTTGACTGACTTTTTTATTGGATTATCCTAGGCAGTTTACACATATGTTACTATATATGATAATTGTAGTGACCTAAATTTGTGTAACTGTACTTATGTGTGCCTCCAGCTAAATAAACTTACTTGGTTAAACACCAGAAAAGCCACGCGTATTACTACTCCGTGAGAAAATACGTCCCTTAGGACCCCGAATGAACTAATAATAATAATATCTTTGTTTCTACAAGTACATGTACAAGGTATAAAGGCCTAGCTGACATCAATGACATACTACTGTATAGAAAGCCGCTTGTTATGCTGAGCATTTCTGGCAAATTTTGTTAGAGGATGCGACCCACACCAGTCCAGTAACACCCAGGTACCCATTTTATTGATGGGTGAACATGGACAGCAGGTGTCTAATGGAAACACGTCCTAATCTTTTCCACCCGTATCGGGGATCGATCCCTGGGCCTCAGAGCGTGAGCTGAGTACAAAGAGGGTCCAGGCTTGAAGTTTCCGTCCATCAACAGCAAGTAGCAGGTGCTACTTAATTGTATTTTGGCAGAACTCTAACCCTGGTTTAAGTTCACACATTTAATTATCTGTTAATGGAGTCATAGAACGTCTTTCCCTAGGCCTGGTCTCAGACAAGTCCTCCTTGGTGATAGTTTGGCCAGTCAAGGTAAGTCTGACAAAGGTACCACAGTCAAGCTGTCTGACACAGGCACCACAATCAAGCTGTCTGACACAGGTACCACAGTCAAGCTGTGTGACACAGGTACCACAGTCAAGCTGCCTGACACAGATACCACAGTCAAGCTGTGTGACACAGGTACCACAGTCAAGATGTGTGACACAGGTACCAAAGCCAAGCTGCCTGACACAGATACCACAGTCAAGCTGTCTAACACAGATACCACAGTCAAGCTGTCTGACACAGGTACCACAGTCAAGCTGTGTGACACAGGTACCACAGTCAAGCTGTGACGCAGGTACCACAGTCAAGCTGTGTAACACAGGTACCACAGTCAAGCTGTGTGACACAGGTACCACAGTCAAGCTGTGACACAGGTACCACAGTCAAGCTGTGTGACACAGGTACCACAGTCAAGCTGTGTGACACAGATACCACAGTCAAGCTGTGTGACACAGGTACCACAGTCAAGCTGTGTGACACAGGTACCACAGTCAAGCTGTGTGAGACAGGTACCACAGTCAAGCTGTGACACAGGTACCACAATCAACCTGTGTGACACAGGTACCACAGTCAAGCTGTGTGACACAGGTACCACAGTCAAGCTGTGTGACACAGGTACCACAGTCAAGCTGTGACACAGGTACCACAGTCAAGCTGTGACACAGGTACCACAGCCAAGCTGTCTGACACAGGTACCACAGTCAAGCTGTCTGACACAGGTACCAGAGTCAAGCAGTCTGACACAGGTACCACAGTCAAGCTGAGTGACACAGGTACCACAGACATTGAGTGTGACACAGGTACCAGAGTCAAGCTGTGTAACACAGGTACCACAGTCAAGCTGTGTGACACAGGTACCACAGTCAAGCTGTGTGACACAGGTGCCACAGTTAAGCTGTCTGACACAGGTACCACAGTCAAGCTGTCTGACACAGGTACAACAGTAAAGCTGTGTGACACAGGTACCACAGTCAAGCTGTGTGACACTGGTACCACAGTCAAGCTGTTACATAGGTACCACAGTCAAGCTGTGTGACACAGGTACCACAGTCAAGCTGTGACACAGGTACCACAGTCAAGCTGTGTGACACAGGTACCACAGTCAAGCTGTGTGACACAGGTACCACAGTCAAGCTGTCTGAGAAAGGTACCACAGTCAAGCTGTGTGACACAGGTACCACAGTCAAGCTGTGTGACACAGGTACCACAGTCAAGCTGTGACACAGGTACCACAGTCAAGCTGTGTAACACAGGTACCACAGCCAAACTGTGTGACACAGGTACCACAGTCAAGCTGTGTGACACAGGTACCACAGTCAAGCCGTCTGACACAGGTACCACAGTCAAGCTGTCTGAAAGAGGTACCACAGTCAAGCTGTGTGACACAGGTACCACAGTCAAGCTGTGTGACACAGGTACCACAGTCAAGCTGTGTGACACAGGTACCCCAGTCAAGCTGTGACACAGGTACCACAGTCAAGCTGTTTGACACAGGTACCTCAGTCAAGCTGTGTGACACAGGTACCACAGTCAAGCTGTGACACAGGTACCACAGTCAAGCTGTGTGACACAGGTACAACAGTCAAGCTGTGTGACACAGGTACCACAGTCAAGCTGTGTGACACAGGTACCACAGTCAAGCTGTGTTACACAGGTACCACAGTCAAGCTGTGTGACACAGGTACCAAAGTCAAGCTATGTGACACAGATACCACAGTCAAGCTGTGTGACACAGGATCCAGAGTCAAGCTGTGTGACACAGGTACGACAGTCAAGCTGTGTGACACAGGTACCAGAGTCAAGCTGTGTGACACAGGTACCACAGTCAAGCTGTGTGACACAGGTACCACAGTCAAGCTGTGACACAGGTACCACAGTCAAGCTGTGTGACACAGGTACCACAGCCAAGCTGTCTGACACAGGTACCACAGTCAAGCTGTCTGACACAGGTACCAGAGTCAAGCAGTCTGACACAGGTACCACAGTCAAGCTGAGTGACACAGGTACCACAGACAAGTTGTGTGACACAGGTACCAAAGTCAAGCTGTGTAACACAGGTACCACAGTCAAGCTGTGTGACACAGGTACCACAGTCAAGCTGTGTGACACAGAGGCCACAGTTAAGCTGTCTGACACAGGTACCACAGTCAAGCTGTCTGACACAGGTACAACAGTAAAGCTGTGTGACACAGGTACCACAGTCAAGCTGTGTGACACAGGTACCACAGTCAAGCTGTTACATAGGTACCAGAGTCAAGCTGTGTGACACAGGTACCACAGTCAAGCTGTGACACAGGTACCACAGTCAAGCTGTGTGACACAGGTACCACAGTCAAGCTGTGTGACACAGGTACCACAGTCAAGCTGTCTGAGAAAGGTACCACAGTCAAGCTGTGTGACACAGGTACCACAGTCAAGCTGTGTGACACAGGTACCACAGTCAATCTGTGACACAGGTACCACAGTCAAGCTGTGTAACACAGGTACCACAGCCAAACTGTGTGACACAGGTACCACAGTCAAGCTGTGTGACACAGGTACCACAGTCAAGCCGTCTGACACAGGTACCACAGTCAAGCTGTCTGACAGAGCTACCACAGTCAAGCTGTGTGACACAGGTACCACAGTCAAGCTGTGTGACACAGGTACCACAGTCAAGCTGTGTGAAACAGGTACCCCAGTCAAGCTGTGACACAGGTACCACAGTCAAGCTGTTTGACACAGGTACCTCAGTCAAGCTGTGTGACACAGGTACCACAGTCAAGCTGTGACACAGGAACCACAGTCAAGCTGTGTGACACAGGTACAACAGTCAAGCTGTGTGACACAGGTACCACAGTCAAGCTGTGTGACACAGGTACCACAGTCAAGCTGTGTTACACAGGTACCACAGTCAAGCTGTGTGACACAGGTACCAAAGTCAAGCTATGTGACACAGATACCACAGTCAAGCTGTGTGACACAGGATCCACAGTCAAGCTGTGTGACACAGGTACGACAGTCAAGCTGTGTGACACAGGTACAACGGTCAAGCTGTGACACAGGTACCACAGTCAAGCTGTGTGACACAGGTACCACAGTCAAGCTGTGTGACACAGGTATCACAGTCAAGCTGTGTGAGAAGTACCATAGTCAAGCCGTCTGACACAGGTACCAGAGTCAAGCTGTCTGTCAGAGGTACCACAGTCAAGCTGCCTGACACAGGTACCACAGTCAAGCTGTCTGAAAGAGGTACCACAGTCAAGCTGTGTGACACAGGTACCACAGTCAAGCTGTGTGACACAGGTACCACAGTCAAGCTGTGTGACACAGGTACCCCAGTCAAGCTGTGACACAGGTACCACAGCCAAGCTGTTTGACACAGGTACC